CAGTTTCTATTTCACCTGTGCAGAGGAGTGTCATTATCATCAGAGCAACCGCCTTGATGTAAATATCAAGGGGAGTGAGACTAAGAACGACTTGCATGGCTCTGGTTGGTGTGGTTTTCATGGCTCCTGTTATGTTGAGACATGCTGTCATTTGAATTTGTTCTAGTTTGCGAATAGCTGTCAATTTTTGGATTTTCGGTACCCAGATAACTGCACCGTATGTTAGCATAGGTGTTATGATGGCCATGTAAGTCCATGTGATGACTCTGGGGGAGAAACCTCAGGTGCCCCCCACGGTTCGGCGGCATTGTTCATAAGCAATGTATGCTCTTTTGACTCTATTTTCTAAGTGTGAGTTCCATGTTAACTTGTTGTCAAAGGAGCTACCCAGGTACTTTACCTCTGTTGCAAAGTTTTGTTTTATGTTTAGGAGCTTTAGAGGTTTTAATTCCATTTTCTTCCTTTTCCTTGTGAAAACGACCATTTATGTCTTCTTGGGATTGATAGACAGTGAATTATCCTTGCACCACTGTTCCATAATTAAAGACACGAGTGGATAAAGGTGTAATGTCACAAAAAGATTATTTCGAGAAAATCAAATTTAAAGTTTTACAATTGCATTACGATATATGGCTCATGACATCTTCCTATCTGATAAATAGCCGTTATTTATCAAAATTGGAAATTGGAACTATGACAAACAAAGTATAATAGGCCATACAAATCATTTTTTTTTAAATGTGACATGATACGTTTATCCACTTATGTCTTCAATTGTTCTCAAAATTCCTTATTTGCAGAATGACCAGGTTATTTGCTTACGCTATTGTGTAATGACTATCATTATTTGTAGATAAAATAATGATACTTATTTTGTTATTAAAATAATCTATTTTACATAAAGAACATTGTAACAATTTTCTGTATGTCATTGTTACTTTAGTATGTGTTCAAATTCTTATGAACCAAACGACAAAAATTGATTAATTTTCATACGTTTCCCAGTGTATTAAGTTCCCATGTTTTAGTACATACGAATACTCATTCAGTTTCGCTTCTTGGCTTACAATATTTTATTTCTATCCTTTAACACTAGTTCCCCATTGTTACTATTATCTTCTGATTCACTATTTCTTATATCGTAATCACTTTTTTTTGCACTTTCTCTATCTCACTACCCGCACTTCTGTTTATTTCCCTTTTTTCGCTGACTTCAGTTTCTATTTTATCTTCCGCTATTTTTAAAAAATACTTTACATTCTCCGGGGTCAATTTTCTAACAGGTTTATAGCTATTGCTGGTTGGAAAATGATTTTAATCTAACTGTTTGATTTTAACTTGGATTGATACTCGCTCGTGCCAACTTATATTACAGCTATGATATCCTCTAGACTTCTGAGGTATGCTTCATTCTTATTTGGATTTAACTATCAAGTTGAATTTAAAAAATCATCTGATCATACAAATGTAGACTGCCTGTTCAGAACTCCAATAGAACAGAAATATTCGTCAGTGAATAAATTTTTAAACGATGAGGTTAATTAACTTTGGGTTTCAATATTTTGTCAGATATCGTCATATAATTTGACTCATGAAAATATCCGTTGAGCAACTAAGAGTGATCCAGTTTTGTTTAAAATTATACATAAATTAAAATGAAACAATAAAATTGATAACGATCTTACGGTACAAGATGATATTTTGTTTAGAGGTCAAAGAGTAGTAATTTCAACTAATCTTCAACTCATAGTTCTTTTCGAACTCCATAGTACCCATGTAGGTATAACCAAAATGAAACAACCAGCTAGAGGTTACTGTTATTGGAAGAATATCGATAAAAAAATCGAGAAGATTGTTAAATCATGACAATCCTCTCCATACTTCTTCTTCTAAAGTACAGTTACATCATTGGAATGTACCTTTGGATAACTGGGATCATATTCACATAGATTACGCCGGACTTTTTCAAGGATATTACTATTTAAATGTTGTTGAAGCAAAATCAAGATGGGTAGAAATACAAATTTTACGTGATGCACCTACTATCGATCTGTTACAAGACATTTTTTCTTTTCACGGATACCCTCGGATATTAGTTTCCGACAATGCTTTCATTTTCGCTAGTGAACAATTCCATTCTTTTTCAAAGACACATGGCATTTTCTAAAAATTATTATTGAACCAGGTCATCCAGCAACCAGTGGTTTAGCGGAAAGAAACGTTCAAACTTTGAAAAATCGTCTTGAGGCCATGTCCGATGATAAAAGTCCTATTTATAGGAGGGTTCAAGAAATATTACATAAATACCGAACTACTCCCCTCAATTTGGGAAAATTCCCAGCAGAATTATATTTAAATCGACATGTTAGAACTAGACTAGATGCAATTCGACCATTTAAGCATTCTAAATCAGAATTAGATTTCCAAAGAGTTCGTAGTTTTAAAATGGGGACGAGAGTACAAGCAAGATTTTATCAAGGAAATAAGATGTCTTGGAAATTCGACATAATAGAAGTTTGGACTTCTCCACTATTTAGTCCTAAAACGACACATATCAGTTACAAAGAAGAGAGTAAGGTTTGCTGATGAAGAATTGGATGAATCTAATGAAGGACAACAGTCGCAAAATTATGAATAGTACCTACCTATTATTCTACAGCAAGAAAATAACAAATGATAGTGAAATTGTAAATTTTGAACCTGAAAATTCAGTTGCGACGTTCCCATAGAATTCGATATATTATGCCACAACGTTTTGTACCTTAGTAATGTTTTGCCTTAGTGAGGAGACTAGTATATCCTTAATACTTGTAGTAGAGTTACTAGATTAGATTGGCTGTCGTCAATACATAAATAAAAGATGTCAGATTTTCAATATTAGCTTTTACCTAGTTTTTATTCAAATATTTACGGTTACAATATATACTTCTGTAAGGTCATTCCTACTACTAGTAATTCTTTATATAATGGTTGGGGTGTTGAATCAAATTTAATGTCTGCAAATTTTAATTTCTACCCTTGGAAGGAATATGTAATATCTTTTTATTTTATTTTCTACTTTGAAAAGTAACCTATAATTTCCTAATTAAATTTTTTATGTATTTGTATGTATATGCGTGATTGTCTTTTTTTAGGCGATTTGATTTAACTAAACAAAAACCGTAGTTTTGTATATTTAATTTTGATTAATTTAATTTTTTTAATAAATTATTACAGTATAATAGTAGAACTCTATAATGTTTATTTCTCTATTGTCTCTACAAACTTTTTGCATCGTGATAAAAAGTGCCACTTCAGTCTCTTGGTCTCTAGGTCCTATTTTACTGAATATTTTGATTTTTCGTTCTTAGGCTGGACATTATTCCAATCTCGTATCGGTCTGCATAAATATAAATGATAACAACTTCTAAACCTCACACTGCACATTTATGCTATGTATGGTTAACTTTGCTTTGTCATCTTTTATTTATTTTTATTCAAATTTTAATCCATTCCGAAAATATATCAACCTTAAATTACAATTTATAATTTCATCGGAACCCTCGGTTTCGGCCCTTAAAATAAATAAATGAAAGGGTCGGATAGTGAATAATTTACCTTATACATTTTTCATCTAGTTAGTTGGGGTTCTGCTTTCCTATTTTAATAGACGTTCTAAAATGCATCACTGGCTCCTTAACCACAGTCTAGGATCTCTCATTAACGAAAATATAATTAATGATAACGAATATTTACTTCTAGTTAAAGCAATTTACGTAGTTCTACAGGATGTTTTAAAACAACCTAGCATATTTATTTTAGTAGGTAGGTATATATTTAATATTAAAAATATTATAATGTTGATGTAATATAAGATTTTTTATTAAAATAACGACCTTAATATGTTTTAATTCTCTCAATTAAACCAAGAAATCACAACAGGTTATGGGCCCATGCACTTCGTATTATTTTAAATTGTGCAGAAGCTTCTAAAAATTCTTAATTTTTGGCACATTTAAATATTTCCAAAGATCTGAGATACAGAAACTATGCGTTCACAATTAAGTTTACCAGCCATAGAAAAGCTCCAAGATTTATAAAACTATTCAACTTGGAAATTTCCTATGGGGTGAGTCGAGAGGAGCGCACCAAACTCTAGGAGTTAATTATACACGTGAAAATAATGTAAAAAACTCATATGTTCTTATCCGATTTTTATTTGTTTTCAAGTTATGGCGTAATTAAAAATGTTCGTCTAGCTTTCCACTTCTGAATTTTAACATTATCAAAGTATGCCATATGTTCAAGGCTCAAAGGCATTTGATAATTATGACGTTTTGATGAACTATCAGTGTACAGTGAACAGTAACTGAACGTTTAACTTCGAATTTATGTGATTGTTAGTGTTGCAAAATGCCAGATACTTATTCAAATTTAGAATATGCAAATATGGTGTTTGTTTATGGTTTCTGTAATGGAAATGCTACAGCTGCTGCTGAAGAATATCGTCAACGTTTTCCACACCGAAGACATCCTGATAAAAACGTATTTATTAGAGTTTTCAACAAATTGTGCGAGACTGGTAAGCTTCCCAGTGCTTTCATAACATCTGAACGCGCTACTCGACAAGGTTTTGTAGAAGTAGAAAATATTCTGCATCTAGTAGAAGAAGATGCAACTACTAGCTGACGGAGAATTGCCACTCAATTGGGAATTCCACAAAAAAGAGTGATAAACACACTAGTTGTTTTTTTTTTTAATTGGTATACTGGAATATTTTATCACGCCCTTTTATTTTGTTGCGCTATTTTGCCTGCACTATTTTGTTTGCGCTTTTTTGTTTATGCGCTATTTTGTCCTGCGCTTTTTTGTCATTTAGCGGTAAATTTATCTATTTCAAACCCCTTTAGATACTATTTAACAGCGTTAAATCTTTATTACTTTATTATCTTATAAAACTGTACATTTTTATTTTGGGGAATTTTATTATCCTCTCATAAAACTATTAATTTTTGTTTCAGGGAATTTTAGGTTCCGGCTTTGCACTTAAAGTCCAACAAAAGCAACGTCAAAAGCACTTCAACCGTCAAATTCCCGCCGCCGCCATGTTGATACAGTGCCTTTGGAGGTGCTACGCGGCCGACAAAAGTTTCAATTCGACGGCTACTTGGCAGGTGTACCTCAGTGACTCGAACGGAGGCCCCGTCGTCAATAGCAATTCGGCTGGAGCTAGCGGAAGTAACTACAGCATGCCGCTGTCGAAGGTAAGAGCTAGAACATTAACGAAGCTTTTATTTTGACTGTAGATTATAGAAATATAATGAAATATAAGCTCTAAGTTATATTGTGGGCACCCAAGACAGAAATGTAAATATTTTGTTTAAAAAAATTGTCGAAAATAGTTAATATTAAGCTATATTATGAGTTTTAAGAAAATGCAAAGTATTGATGAATATGTTAAAATTGCAGGAGAAGGAGTTGAATGTAAATCAATTTTATTTAAAAGAGATAATACATAAATATATCTGATAATATATATGTGACCGTTTTTTCAATATAACTTTTTTCTAAAAGAATATTCTTCAGAATGGATGTCATAAAGCTTAATTAAAATGCTAAAACTAATTTTAATTTTCTCCTTAACATAACGGACATGTTGATGTTGTTATTTATATCATGTTCTCTTCAAATTAGTTTCATTGTTATCAATTTTTAGTGACCATCATGTTGTGACATAAATATTTTTTATTACTATTCTCAGATGAGCCATAAAACGATGTTTCCGAACCTTTTATTGTCGATAAACCCGCAAAAATTTATAATATCATAAATACAGCGTATTTCGGAAAAGATAGGAGTAATGTTGTGTTGCATGTTTACTACTTGATTTTCGATAAATTTGTAAATATTTAAATTCAATCTAACTAACACTTTTAGATATTGATAAAAATAAAACGTTATATCAGGTACTTAACATTTTTAAGACGAATTTATAAAACTGTTTTAGACGTATTCTATACATTATCTTATAAATGATCTTACAACTCTAAACTCTAAACAACAATTTATATAATTTATAAGAGTATTTCATAACGGTTATAAGATACTATTGTAACATTTGTATAATAGACTTTTTTCAAAACTTCATAATATTGTCAGAACTCTTTCTGCACTCTTATAAAAACGTCTTATTAAGGTTAGGTACAATTGTTATTTAAAACCATTATAAATCTTACAGCAGTAAATACTACCAGTAGTAGTAGTAGTAGTAGTAGTAGTAGTAGTAGTAGTAGTAGTAGTAGGGAAGGAGGGGGCATAGGGAACCGCTTAAGAAGTATTATTGTATATTTTCGAAAAACGCGTAAAAACAAGTAAACCATACTAATTATAGTGTGTGCATTACTTTGACTATTTCCAACCGTAAATTTGATATAAATAATAATTAGACGAAATTATAGCCGTTTTATTGATAGTTTAACTGGTCCTATGTGCCCCTTGGTACTGGGGCACACGGGACCCAGTACTGGGGCACACGGGACCCAGTACTGGGGCACAGGGAACATGCCTAATAATTAATTTTAAAATAGGGTTTTGACAAAAAGACATTAAATAATGTTTGCAGAAATCATATACTATAGAACTTAACACTTGAGTATTTATTTAACATATTTTATTTTTGAATAGAATATAACATATAAACTCTTGCTCATCCTCTGACACTCCTGCGCAAGCATCATGTGTCCAACCTTTGCAATTCTGGCACTGAATCCACCCCACCCTTGCCTTTGATTCGCCATACCGGCCTGGATAATAAATGCATCTTTTTACACTTTCAGTAATTTTTCTTTTCACGCTTTCAGTATTTTGTTTTTCTGTCCGCTTCTTTTGCAATAAGCTGGTCTTTAAATGGGAAACTTGTCAATTATTCAGCATGCTGAACTTTACTAACTCTCTTCTGTGAATGCTGGTTTTTGTTTTTGCGAGCATCTGACATTGGCTTTGGAGAAACGTCTTTGAACGTGTGAAGTGTAACTGCAGCTCTGCTGTGGTTCCTTAAATACCTCTTCAGTTTCAGGTTGGTGGTTATCTAGGACATTTTCCTTAACCATCTCATTTAGTCTTTCAGTTTCTTCCTTCACCTATGACTTCAGCAGGCAGAAAATATTCATCTGGAAATATGTCATTGTTAAATGGATAAATTCCTGTGGTTAGAAAACCTTTTATGGCTTTCTCCATAATGGCAATGTAAAGAAATGCCTTCTAAAAATTTTTAACGATGTCATACAATGACAGTATCCAGGGTTATTAGTGTGCCATAAATCACACTCCTTTGCATACTGGTGTTTCAAAGGCCCAAACAGAGTGCAATCAAGGGGCTGTAGTCGATGACTGGTATGGAGTGGAAGAGAAACCATTATAATAATAAGTATAAGGGGTTAAGAAAAGGTCCTTTATTTCTCACACGTCAATTTTAATTGGCGACCGGTTTCGAAGCTATTGCTTCATCATCAGGCACACCTAAATGGAATGTCAAGGAGTCAGTAGTAATAAAAACAATTATAAAAGTATGAACGGACATTAACATATACAAAGTAACAGAAAAAACACAAAAGAAAATTAAACAATGACCTTGACTCACCTTGACTATTTCCATAAAGGAAGTGCTACATAAAGTTTAATAAAACGATTTAAAAAAGTCAGAAAAGTCATGTAATACCTACAATAGTATTTTTTAAATATATTTTTAGGTTAGGTTAAACCGCGAGATGTCTGATTAAATAAAATAATTAAAACACATGTAAGACAATTATTAACTAAACAACACAAAATAGTTTTTACAAGCAAAAACAGTTAAAACAATTTTTTTTTTTTAAAGAATAGACGTCAATTACAAAATGAAAAGTAAAGAGTAAAAAGTAAAAAGTAAAAATTATCAGACTCCCATGACATCTATCTAGATTTTTAACGAATCAGTGCAGTTAAAAATCTAGATAGATGTCATGGGAGTCTGATAATTTTTACTTTTTACTCTTTACTTTTCATTTTGTAATTAACGTCTATTCTTTAAATTTTTTTTAACTGTTTTTGCTTGTAAAAACTATTTTGTGTTGTTTAGTTAATAATTGTCTTACATGTGTTTTAATTATTTTATTCAATCAGACATCTCGCGGTTTAACCTAACCTAAAAATATATTTAAAAAAATACTATTGTAGGTATTACATGACTTTTCTGACTTTTTTAAATCGTTTTATTAAACTTTATGTAGCACTTCCTTTATGGAAATAGTCAAAGTGAGTCAAGGTCATTGTTTAATTTTCTTTTGTGTTTTTTCTGTTACTTTGTATATGTTAATGTCCGTTCATACTTTTATAATTGTTTTTATTACTACTGACTCCTTGACATTCCATTTAGGTGTGCCTGATGATGAAGCAATAGCTTCGAAACCGGTCGCCAATTAAAATTGACGTGTGAGAAATAAAGGACCTTTTCTTAACCCCTTATACTTAATCCCTACTACTCACATATGGCTACCCTCACTCCAAATTATAATATTTTCTCTTGCTTTATTTATTGCAGCTATTGTCCTATGACTGTTGTGATTATCGAGGATTAATAATATTTTATTGTTAGGGTCAGGTTTCACATGGTTTATAAAGTGATCCAAACACTTGACGAAATGATCGGAATTCATCCATCCAGAACCATTCGCATAATCAACTGCACCTGGTGAACATCCTTTCATTCGCTACCGGGGAAAAATAAAAAAATGGTGGAATGTATGATCCTGCAGCTGAAATTCCATAAAGTAAAGTGACATTAAAACCTCTTTCAGTGCTCACTACCCGCCCTACTTGTTTCTTTCCTTTTTGTGATAATATTGTTCTGGGAACTGGTACCGAATTTATCCCATTTTCATTAATGTTGTATATCTGGTCGGATCGAATATTACTGGCCTCCAAAACCGATCGTACATCATAGAACTTGTGGACTTGTGGTTTATTAAATCTTGCCGGTCATGCTATGCTAGTAGGCTTAGGAGCTCAAATAGCAAAGTAAGGATTTCTTTTTTAAACCCTGACAACCAGTCACTACCAGCCAGTTTCGCAGTTTTGGTAAATGGATAATTTAACTGCATATTTTCTACCAATTCAAATGCAAAACGACGAGCATCTAATGGTGTTATTCCATAAAAGCGCCTCTCTAAGTCCAAAATATGCTCCACTAAAACCCTCTCTTGTTGTTTGGTAAACACTTGTTTCTAGGAGTTCTTGGCATTAATGGGTTATTTTTCCGACGCAAAATACAACTCTTGGGTATTGCAAACCGTTTAGATGCTGCTCGAACCAAAATTTTCTTCCGGTTTATCATTTCCAATGCTTTTGTCATTTTCTCCTTCGTCCGCGAGGGTTCTGGTCCTTTTTTTATGTAGTTACGTACCATCTAAAAATAACAAATATTTACGATGTAGGTACATAAAAAAAGGGCCACAATTAATAAATGGGGCACAGAGGACCGCATTGGTCCTCTGTACTCCAGACTTCACTGGTCTTCTCTATCCCAGTGTCTCAATTAAATTCAAAATGGCTGTTACTTGACTGAACGTTTGTTTATAAATACGATAACCAGCTTATTTTACAGGGAAATAGTCGTGTTTTGGTTGGGTATAATAAAATATAATAATGTGTAACAATTACGTGAGAATCACACTTGATCAAGATATAAAAATTAACATTACTTACCTTTTAAATCACTTTTTGTTTACGGTGACCTTCACACTATACCGACATTGTTGGAACTGAAACACTACAAAAAAATGCACTGCTATCTTGCTATTTTTGACATTAACCAAAAGGTGGCGCTACCTGTAACAAAATAAATCGAGTGAACCTGTGCCCTGCCGGTCCCCTGTGCCTCCTCCTATTGATATTGAAATTGAATGAAATTCGCACAAATATCTCCGAAAGGAGAAATTTAAAACAAAATAAATATTTTAACAGAGAAGCATTTAAGAAGAAAAGAGCAACATTGCTTTTTTAAAATCATTTATGTCGCTACACAATCTTTGGGGAGTAATAAAGCAAATTGTTCTTGTGAATATCGTCATATTTAAAAACATATTTTTTATATGTTCTCATAAAATATATTTTATAGTTGTTATAACAACAATTATAAAACATATTTTGTTAGGCAATTAAAATTTCATAATATTCAAACACGCTTCCTATTTGCGTGTTATTTATTTTCAAAATCTGATCTTTACCG